TCATATACACACAGACCATCCAGGTGTGCATGTTATAAACACACACTCTCCCTTCATTAGAAACACTTGGGTGTATGTACAGTCCCTTGGACAGGGACATGTGGCGGGCACAACTGCATATAGGTGTATAAGTAGTCAGCCACCCCAGTGACATGTGCAAGCAGGTACGCACATGCTTACCCACCCAGGCAGGGGAATGGATCAGTTGCATCTGTGTTTGACATGTGTGCATTCATTTCCACCCACATAAAAGTTCCACCTTGGTGTAGTACTGTCGACTGAAGAGTGACACCATGCCTTCCCATCCCTGACCCGGTGCCAGCTGAACTCAGGCCCTTTAGCCAGAGTCCTCAGTTTGCCTCGTTCTTACACAGGCACATACCCACTACAGGACTTGTTTTACCCTAAGTACGGGCTTAGAGCCCTCATGTCCCCCACCACTCTGGTTTGGGCGCCTCTACTGTTTTCTACCCTTTACGCTACTGCCCTCTTCTAGGGCCATGACCTGAACCCTTCAGTGGCAGAAACTAACTGACTCTTCACCACAAATTCATGTCCTCTTCCTCCTGGGCACATGGTTAAACTTTAAATTCCCAGGCTCATTTGCAGTCAGGTGTGGCCATGTGACTAGTCCCACCAATTAAATGGGAGTGAGATGATGTGCACCATTTCTGGGCCAAGACTTTTAAGTAGTATGTGCCCTCCACATTCTCTCTTTCCCCTTTAGCTTGGCTGGATGCAGAAGATGATGAGGCTTTAAGGGATTGCGGAGCCACAGAAGAAAGGAGACAGGGTCTTTGTATTAGGGCACAAAGGCAAGCCACCCATTAACCAGAAACACTAGCTTTGTGCTGTTATGAGAGTGAGGAATAAACTTTGAGCTGTTTTACACATTAAAGTCTATTTTTGATAGCAGCTAGTGTTACCTTACTTAATATACCTCTTCACTCAGCCCTGACTCACCTCTCTCCAGACACCTTGCTCCAGGCCACCCAGATAGAGGGATTCAGTCAGACTTGGTGTGTATATTGGGGGTTGATTTGGAGCCTGGAGCATTGCCAGCAGTGGTCTTAATAAGGTGCCATTGACATGACAATGTCAATGTGCCTGTGAGGGTTTTATGGAGTGTATGATGTCAGTGGAGACTGCTTGTCTGTCTGCTGGGCTATGGACCTGGGCCGAGGCTTCATAAAGGGTGTTACCATTTACAGGGGCTTCTCCCAACTTCATTTGTTCCTCACAACCTCTTTGTGAGTGGTGCTCATTATTTACATTTTACAGATAAGGAAACTGAGACTTGGAGACAAATGAGTTCCCCAAGGTTACACATCAAGTCAGAGACTGTTGTGAATAAGTGTGCTTGGGTGCCAGGAGCTGCTCCTGGGCCATCACAAGCCCAGGTGCCAAGACCTCATCTTCCTCCCCGAAAAGGCCCATTTACAGTCTCTGACCCCTGCTAAGGTCATCCTCTCCTCTGCCCACCTCTGAACTATGGATGCCAATTTTACCTTTGACCACATCTTTACCCCAGGGACCCCAGCCAACCCAGAACTTCCCATCTCTTAGTCCTTATCTAATTTTCTCCACTCCACGAGAGCAGTGGGGTACCTCCAGCCCACAGAACACTGTTCTCAGCTTATTTCTCCTTGGCTTCCCACAGTAGATCAATTTTTAATATCTGATCCCCCTTCCCTCTGGAGGCTTCCTGGGCTCAGGCCTTGTTGTCTCTCATTTGGCCATAATAACCTTCTATTCAGTCTCCCCACCTGCTATGCCCCTCCAATCTTTTCTCTTCACCATAGTCAGAGAAAACCATGTTGGCCCCTCCCATGCTTAAAACCATCCCAGTGCTTTCTGGAAAAAAGCCATGTTCCTTAGTTGGGAAATTGAAGGCCCTTCAAGTTCTGGCCTTAGCTATACCCTCCTCCACCTCTCCTCAGCCATTCTGAACTGCTTTCATCCCATATGCCCCCGAGCATCCTTCTGGGCCTTTGCATCTCCTGTTCCCTCTGCTAAGAATGCCTTTCCTGGGGCGCCTGGGTGGCGCAGTCGGTTAAGCGTCTGACTTCAGCCAGGTCACGATCTCACGGTCCGTGAGTTCGAGCCCCGCGTCGGGCTCTGGGCTGATGGCTCAGAGCCTGGAGCCTGTTTCCGATTCTGTGTCTCCCTCTCTCTCTGCCCCTCCCCCGTTCATGCTCTGTCTCTCTCTGTCCCAAAAATAAATAAACGTTGAAAAAAAAAATTAAAAAAAAAAAAAGAATGCCTTTCCTTTTGCTGGTAAACTCCTACTCATTCTGCATGATCCAATTCCAGGTTTTAGAACAAATATTCATATTTTTACTAATTATTAATCACCTCCTTTGTGCCAAGCACTGTTGTAGATGCTGGGGATGCAGCAGAAGTGGCCATAGCTGACAAAAATCCCACCCTTCCTAGAAGTCTAGTGGAACATACATATTCTTGTTTGTATAGATATAATTTCTGGAAGGGAATACCCCTAGGGAGGGGAGTGGCAGGGAACTTTTGTTGTATTATATTTCTGTATTACGTATACGAGCATATTACTTTAATAGTAAGCTTATTAAAAATATGTGATCCAGAAAAGATGTCTCAGCACTTAACCCTGATAAATTCATTCATCCCAAAGGGCAGCTTCTTTATTAACCAGGAGTCAGCTGCTTAACTGATTGAGCCACCCAGGTGC